GCCAGGGAGTGGGCGCGTGGCGGCAGCGGCAGGCGAGTAGGCAGCAACCGACTGAAAGAGGGGGGAGGAGACATACAGCAGCATGTCGCACGAGGCATGCAGGATGATGCTGCTGCTGCTACCAATGCTGCTGCTGGTGATGCTTGCGCCGCTGCCGCCACGGCGCGTCGCCGCCTCGGGCGGGGAGACCAGCAAGTCGCCTAGCACCGTGGCGGGCAGGCATTCAGCGGACGACGTTCCGCCCAGGGCCGTGTTGTGTGTGTTTGCAGGTCGCTGTTTTGCAGATCTACCTGGTAATCCAAAGCCTGCGGCGCCTGACTGAGGCGATGCTGGCGCGCGGCGCCCGCCGTTGACGCTGATGTTGCGCCGTCACCAGATGCTGTCGGCCCGAGCGCCATGTGGTTCTGGTAATCTGAGTGGCTGTAATGGATATTCGCAACGTGCGCAGCGGCCTGGGATATCAGGCTGCCAAAGTCGTGGGCGCCCGGCCAGTCTGCGAAAGCCTCGTCCTCCTCCCCATCCCAGATAGAATCCGAGTAATGGTTGCTTCTGTCTGACTCCATCACAACTTCGTCCTTCGTCGAGCCATGTACGTGCCCAACGAGGTCTGATCGCCGCTGCACCACTTTGGTAATGGCTCGCGCGTTCCTGTGCGTGAGTGCGGGCAAACCGAATGGGAGCCGTGCTGCGTGATGACTATGTGATGCAGCGCCGTGACGGCATGCGAATGAGCGAAGGCTTTTGCAGTTGCCCAGCAGGCTCACTACCAGACAGATTTCAACAGCTTTGATATTTTGGCGGCATGCGAGCATGCCGCGCTGCGCAGATGCCCCCACATGCTGTTGGACACGTGCACTCTACCTGGTGCTTACGAGCCGAGAAGCGGGACCAGTCAACGGGGCACGGCAGGGAAGCACCGAATGCAGTCGCAGAGCATGAGTGAGCAGGCGCAGCACATGCCATGAAAGGTGGGCAGCAGGGGGCTTTGTTGGATGGAGGGGGCCTGCATGTTGAGTTGCACGCTTGTGTGGTGTTGAAAGGGGGCAGAAGGTTGGTGGGGGCTCGCGGGGTTGGGAGCGCAGCACACATGGGGTGCGCGAGTGTGAGGCCGGACCGCGGGACTAAAACTGACGCCACCCCCGCGACAGTTTGCTGGTTTCGGCTTCAGAGACTCCACAGCTGGTCCCCTTGCGCGCCACTCCCTGCCTTGACGCGCCCAAGTCTTGGCCCAGGCTGCAAACCACCGAGGGCAATCACAAGGCGGCTGAGGCAGTGCTCGTTGATGAGTCTTGGTTTGACATGTGCACGCGGACAGCATGAGAGCGCCGGACACCTAGGGTTTGCTCGCGTGAATTTGTGTCGTTTTTACAATAAGCCTGACTTTACGGCTGGGTGTCGAGGCGCTGACTGAGTGATGTGTGCGTGAGCCGGACGCCCCCTGCGCAGACATACAATCCGCTGCAGGGCGGCCAAACACGTGGTCGGTGTGTGCGTTTCCAGCGCGCCGAGGCGGACGCGGCACAGATGGTGTGTAAGAAAAGCTGCAGCAACGGGGGAAAACATAAAGGCGGAGTTTACAGCAACGCCGTCAGCGCGCCCCGCGCGCGGCCACCGGCCGGCGCGCGGCTACCGCAGGTCCAGCACGTCGTGTTTCGTGCGCGGGTTGAGGTACACGTGCCCGCACAGCTCGTACACCTCCTGCCCCGTGGCCGTCGGCGGGTGCGTGTGGAAGCCGCGCAGCGGGCACTTCTGGACGAGCTGCAGGCCGCCGGGCGTGGTGAGGCGGAAGATGCCGCACTTGTTGCGGCTGTCGGTGGGGGCCATGACGATGGCCACAGCCTCGTCCAGCATGGTCTGGTAG